GCAATACTTTACATTTCTCCCTGTTAAAATTCATCTTGTTTGTTTTGGCCCAGTTCTCTAATCTGTCAAGGTCGTTTTGAAGTGTGATCCTGTCCTCTGGGGTGTTAGCCACCCCTCCCAGTTTGGTGTCATCTGCAAATTTGATCAGGATGCCCTTGAGTCCATCATCCAAGTCGTTGATAAAGATGTTGAATAAGACCGGGCCCAAGACAGAACCCTGTGGCACCCCACTAGTCACTCTTCTCCAGGATGAAGAGGAACTATTGATGAGCACCCTTTGGGTTCGGTCAGTCAGCCAGTTACAAATCCACTGAGTGGTAGCATAGTCAAGACCGCATTTTACCAGCTTCTTTACAAGAATATCATGGGGCACCTTGTCAAATGCCTTGCTGAAATCAAGGTAGGCTACATCCACTGCGTTCCCTTCATCTATCAGGCTTGTAATTCTGTCAAAAAAACGAGATCAGGTTAGTCTGACATGACTTATTTTTCAGAAATCCATGCTGACTATTGGTGATCACAGCATTCCTTTCTAGGTGCTCACAGGCTGTTTGCTTAATGATCTGCTCCAGAATCTTCCTTAGTATTGATGTCAGACTGACTGGGCGGTAATTATTTGGGTCCTCTCTTTTCCCCTTTTTGAAAATAGGGACAACATTTGCCCTCCTCCAGTCTGCCGGGACTTCGCCTGTTCTCCAGGAATTCTCAAAGATGACTGCCAGTGGTTCTGAGATCACATCTGCCAGTTCTTTTAATACTCTTGGATGCAGTTCATCTGGCCCTGGAGACTTGAATACATCTAAACTAGCCAAGTATTCTTGTACTATCTCCTTAGTTATTCTGGGCTGTGTTTCCTTTGCTGAATCATTTGCTCCAAATTCTTCAGGTCGGGCATTGGTTTTTTTATCGGAGAAGACTGAGGCAAAGAAGGCATTGAGGAGTTCAGCCCTTTCTGTGTCCCCTGTTTGCATTTCACCATCTTCTCCTCTGAGTGACCCCACTGTTTCTTTGTTTTTCCTTTTGCTACGAACATACCCATAAAAGCCTTTTTTGTTGATTTTAACCTCTCTAGCAAGCCTGAGTTCATTCTGTGCTTTAGCTTTTCTGACTTTGTGTCTACACGTGCTGGCTATTTGTTTGAATTCCTCTTTGGTGGTTTCCGCCCTTTTCCATTTTTTGTACACATCCTTTTTTAATCTTAACTCAGTTAAAAGTTCTTTAGATAGCCACCCTGGCTTCTTTAGGCACCTTCCATATTTCCGACTCATTGGTATTGCCTGACGTTGTGCTTTTACTATCTCCCTCTTAACAAACTCCCAGCCATCATGAACTCCCTTTCCTTTTAGTATTACTGTCGATGGGATCTCACCCAGCACTTCCCTAAGTTTTATGAAGTTGGCTTTCTTGAAGTCAAGAAATTGAGTCCTAGTATGCCTGGCTGCTCCTTTCCGCTGTATAGTAAACTTCAGAAGAGCATGATCACTCGCGCCTAATGATCCTTCCACTTCTACCCCACTAACCAGGTCATCAACATTGGTTAGGACCAGATCTGATGTTCACAGTACTATCCAGTCCTTTCTTATTGTTTTTCCACATCTCTTGTTGTTATTTTCCTATATTTTTCCTTTCTCTTTGTGACCTCTGATAGTCTCCACAAGCTGGTTAAAACAGTTTGTAATCCTGTGTGAATATTTTTTTTATCCAGTAGCCATATCCAGACGTTTTCCATATAACATCATTTCCACAAATCAAAACAGCCTTAGCGTCATTAATCTTCACAAATCTGTCGCCTTTCTCAAACCTCTGAGGAGATTCAACAGGAATGCAGTCTGAAAACAAATCCGTTCCTCCTCCCAGCTGTAAATCCTTTGGCAAGATGGCGATTCTGAATTAATTGCTGCGCCATTCCAAAAGCTCTTATTCCTTCTCGATCTCCATGAAGCATACTTTTGGTTAAAGTTTATTTCCACACAGACCTTAATCATCCTGCTTGGGTCAGTTAAACCGACGGTTCTAATGAGAAGGAGTTCTTGGTAATCACATAGAAGAAAAGTAAAAAAGGTTCCCCCCCCATTCAGTCCTGTTGCCAACATACCCAGCCTTTGATGTATCTTCATCGTAAAATATTCTTTTTGCTCCAACCCGTCGTCTTCTTTCGCAGAGGTCCCTTCAATTAGCAGTCTTCACTCCCCTTCTTCACTTGAAATATGTGCATTTGCTTCTTTTGTAATTAATTATTCCAAATTGCTGCAGCTAGTGCGCTATCAGAGACAGCGTCCAGGAGAGCCGAAGTCCACACAGGGGCATTCTGCCTAGTGCCCTCACCCCCTTCTTTCGAATTTGGGGGTGATTTATGGGCACAGCAGGCAAGGGCAGTGTTCCCCATTCCCTTGGGGCAACAAGGGAGGCTGCCTACTCCCATAACAGCCTCTTAATTACCCTGTGTGGTCCGGAGAGATGGTATTGTTGGCCATCTTCCAATGCGCCCCTAGTGGCCCCCTTACTTCTGGGAGTTCTCAGTCCACATACTGCTTCAGCCTGCATTGTAGAATTTTAAGCATAACCTTGCTAGCATGTGAAATGAGTGCAATTGTGCAGTAGTTGGAACATTCTTTGTCACTGCCCTTCTTTGGGATTGGGCTGTAGACTGACCTTCTCCAATCCTCTGGCCACTGCTGAGTTTTCCAAAGATGCTGGCATATTGAGTGTAGCACCTTAACAGCATCATCTTTTTAAATTTTGGTTCTCAAGGAAGAGGCAGCCCAGGAATACAAGGCAGGAATTCACCTTGAATCTTGCTAACAAAATCCTTTCATAGCTTTTTGTGAGGGTGTGGCTGCTAATCTTAAAGCCAGGATGGGCACTAAGAATTGGGCATCATTTCCTCTGTTATTAAAAATAAAATAAAATACTTGTTCTGCTTCTAAAGAAACCCTTTAGATTGCATTCTTATTCTTTTTTCATATAAAAAATTCAAACAGCTGTGCAAAGGTGCTCCTGTGCAATGCAATGTCAGAATAACAAAATAATGAAACATCTCACAAGAGCCTTGTTTTTTAAATATACAGCTAAAAAACCTTAAAACTCCTACAACACTTACCAAATAGAAATCTAATAGCTGCCCCCCCCAGGCACTAGGAGGCAACCTGATGTTCAAGGCTTCACCCCCCCCCCCAAACTCTGAGCTTTTGGTTTCTCTTTAGACACTCATCTGTGGTTGCCTGGAGCATTTGAGGAAAAAGAGAGATAACATTCTGGCATACGAAGCAAACATAGAAAAAGAAAGTGACAACCTGTTTATAAGTGTCATTGTTACTTGGAAGCGAACAAGTGTTATAAGTTTAATGTACATATAATGCTGTGCTTGAATGCATTGTAATAAAAATACTATAAAGGGAAGTTTCTCTTAGACTTAGGCAAGAGGTTCCACTCTGACAGAAGCCTCAGAGGAGGCTGGATCTTTCCTCATAACTCATCGCTGGAGGCATAAGCTGCAGAGCTCTCACGGAAGGAAGCTTAAACTTGAGAAGCCAGTGTGTTCTTGCTGGAGATGGCTAGGAGAAGCAGCAGCAGCAGTTGCAAATAAGTCATGCAATGTTGAAGAAGCTTAGGATCTCCCTCTGGGACCAGGGATAGGAAAGCTTACTGAATTACATAAAGGACTGATCATTGTTTGCAACGTGCTACTTTATCATGCTTATCTTATTGTTAGACTGTTTAAGACTGTTCTGCAGTAAAGCTTCAAAACTTATTTTTGTGATGGAGAGAATTCATTTCCACACAAGGTCCAGATCAGGAGTTCCATGGAACAACTTTAACAACAAGTACTTGAAGGGTACTTCAAGTCTTCCGGGTTGGCGCCACCGGCAATGGCGGAATTCCTCTGATCGGGAGGAATTTGCTTCGTGGAAATTCGGGTCTGGCCGCCACGGCGAAGGCGGAGACCCACTAAAAATCACAGGCGGGTGAAGCCTGTGAACGTGGGATTCGGCGGGCACCTTTTGCGCCTCTCCTACCCGTGGGGAAACCCAGTTTCAGGGATCCGGAGCCATGTGGGGTGAGCGGCGTGGTGCTTCGGATCGACTGCTTCTTCCACGGAGCGAAGCCGCATAGCTGTTGCCGGAGAGCGCTGACTTTTTCCTGTGGACAATTTGATCTTAAAGCAACTACCCGTGAGTATAGTGAAGAATTGGATTTTTAAAACGTCTTAATTTGGCACCGAAACGGGGAGGTTCAAAACAGGAAGTCCACCTCCCCTTTTTGTAAATAAGACTGAGGCAAAGAGGCTGCAAACTAAAGTCTTGGAAAGCCTATTGTAAAGGACTAAATTCTTATCAGTAAAAAATATTAACCCCCCCCCCCTTGGAAGCAGGAGAAGAGGGGGGAGGCTTTGGATTGTATATCCCTGCAGGAGTGAGTGAGGAAGTTAAAATACCACCGTTCCGAACCTGGAAACGGGCTGCCAGTAAAACCGACATGTCTTGGAAGGTTCATTGACAGCGAATAGAACGTTCGGTGACAGCTAGCATAAGAGAGATACATTGTTTCCATTGTCTTCGTCTACACTTAAAAAGGAGTAAAAGTAACGGAAAATTGAAACAATCTTACTGAACTTTATTTAAAAGAAAGGAGGAAAGTAACTGAAAATTGAAACTAACTTTGGATTATTGAAACTGTGTTTAAAAGAGGACATACTGACCGATACAAATACAACTCGCTTTCCCCTAGTGGAAGCTTTTGAAATTGGTTACTTGATAGGAGCTGGGCTAGGGGAATTTCCAGCTGCAAGATAAGAAAGTGTGAGACTTTGGAATTGACCTTGAATCTTTTAAGTGTTATGGCAAACGAAAAGGAAAAATCAGACGAGATGTCGACAGAGGAGGCCTTAGTGGCTGCATTATTGAAAATAAACGATTTGCTGGAACAACTCCACAAGAAAACAGATGCGAGAAATGTGAAATTGGATGTTGCAAATATTGAAATTGATTCAATTGTAGAAAGTTTAAATAACTTGGGACAAAAGGTGAATACTAATTCAGAAACCACTCAGAAACTGACACAGGAATCTACTTCGATATGGCAAACTGCAGATGAAGTTAGGGGAAAAACCCTTGCTGCTGAATCTAAAATAATACAGCTGGAGAGGAGAGTCCCATCCATACAAAGACAACCTGACGAACATAAGTTGACATTCGTTATGATTGAACTTAAAGAAGAACGGATGAATTTGAGGACCAGAGCCCTATCTGAATTGGAAAAGGAAAGCTTGACAGAGTTTCAGGAGGCAATACTAACATTGGTTGAGAAAGAGAGGTATTTGGGGGTTAGTATGACTGCCAAAAATGTGAATTTGCTTAAGGATAACTGTGAAGGATGTTGGATTGAGGAGAAGGGGGATTTGGAAAGATGGACAAATCAGAAGTTGTCACTGTTGGGCCGAGTTACTGTGGTGGGGATGAGGGCTGCTGTGTTGTTGGGGATGTTGCTTTTGTTTCAAACACTGCAAGCCTTGGATGGGATGGAGGGTTTCAGGAGGTGGCAGAGGGATGCTCCTAGAGTTGTTTGGCAGGGCAGGAAGCCTCGAGTAAAACTTAGGATATTGATGGATGCCAAAGAAGGAGGAGGACCTGCCCTGCCAGACCTTTAAATTTTGCTGTGAACTATCTGCTTTTTGCTGGTTGAGAGAATGGTTCCTTTTCGAAAACATTGAAGCGTTGGACAATGGCAGATGAAATTGATGGACTATATGGAATTGGCGGAAATGACTGGCAAGATCCGAGACCAGGGTGAAGAGTCGGTGGAAGAAGATTGGAAAAAGTTTAAAGACCATTTATAGAGATATTGTAAAATTAAGGAATGTTAGAAAAATGTTGGAATGAAATTATATGGCTTTAGCAGAAATGTCATAAGGAATTAGGTATAGATAGATTAATAGAAAATTAAAGGAAAAGTATGGCAAGAATGTGTTAAGATAATTATAGAACAGAAAACAGAGTAAGATGGAAAGGAATTGCTGAAACAAATAATAGAAGTAGAATACAAAAAGGGAGGTGGGAGGAGGTTGCTGGAAATAAGTGAATGAAATATAAGATATTGAAAATGTTTGAGTTGTTTTTAAACTGTTTTTGCTTGTTTTTGCCTAGGGCTTGCCGATCAGAAGGTCATGGTTCGAATCTCAGCAATGGGGTGAGCTCCCGTTGCTCGGTCCCTGCTCCTGCCAACCTAGCAGTTCGAAAGAACGTCATAGTGCAAGTAGATAAATAGGTACCGCTCCGGTGGGAAGGTAAACGGCTACCTCGGCGGGTAAAGCGAGATGAGCGGCGCAACCCCAGAGTTGTCCGCAACTGGACCTAATGGTCAGGGGTCCCTTTACCTTTACCTTTACTTGAAGTACCAAACCACGATGTAGCCGTGCTCTTTTCCATCCCTTTCCAAGAATTACAACAATCTGTTCCTCAAAATGGTTCAGCCTCCACCACCTTTACTGCAGTCAACTGAAGGCAACCAACTATGCCCTGGGCCCCCCGATCTTTCTCACTGCCAGTGAAAACTAATAAATGAATAGGAAGAGAACCTACCCATGTCACACTGACACAAACACCTTGCATATGAACTTTGTAAAATAAAATAAGAAGCTGAGTCTGTAACCTGAAGCGTATGTAACCCGAGGTACCACTGTACAATATTCTGCTTATTCAAACACGGGCATGTTCTCACTTGAATTCTCTTATAGTTTCTTATGAAATGATTTTCTTTCACATCAGCAGTATTGTCTCTGTTCCTGCACAGGTTTCTGCTTATTAACATTTAGTGGCCGCCGGGACCACATAACACTGGTCCTGAGAGATCTGCATTGGCTCCCAGTCCGTTTCCGAGCACAATTCAAAGTGTTGGTGCTGACCTTTAAAGCCTTAAATGGCCTCGGTCCTGTATACATGAAGGAACGTCTCCACCCCCATCGTTCAACCTGGACACTGAGATCCAGCGCCGAGGGTCTTCTGGCGGTTCCCTCATTGCGAGAAGTGAGGTTACAGGGAACCAGACAGAGGGCCTTCTCGGTAGTGGCACCCACCCTGTGAAACACCCTCCCTTCAGATGTGAAGGAAATAAGCAGCTATCCTATCTTTAAAAGACATCTGAAGGCAGCCCTGTTTAGGTAGGGTTTTAATATTTAATGCTGTACTGTTTCTAACACTTGATTGGGAGCCGCCCAAAGTGGCTGGGGAAACTCAGCCAGATGGGCGGGGTATAAATAATAAATTATTATTATTATTATTATTATTATATCATGATCTTCCTCTGTTTTACTTCAGATAATTCAGTGGGGCCTCTTCTCAGTTCATTCTCTTCTGGATCAGTGCCTTAATCCTTTGTAGATTCTGTATATCACAGAATAGTCATTGAGGTGTCCCCAGATGTTGTTGTCCAGTTCCCATCACCTTCAGCCAGCAGGGCAGACAGTCAAGGATGATAGAAACTCTAATCTGGACCTCACCACCTGGACTCTGCTGCCCTATATCCTTCCCATTGAAACAAATGTGAAAATAAATTTTGGACGCTATAGATTTATCCTGGTCTGGTGCATGCAATGTCTTTTGTTTTGCAGCTGTGTGATTTGTGCTCGTATAGTGGTGGCCATTGGCTAAAAACAATAAAACGATTTTATTTTTTTGGGGTCCTCACTCCCAAATGATGTGTGTGTTTTTGGTTATATTGTGCTTTTGGTTATATTGGGGGTGGGGTGGGGAGTGGAGAAGTATGAAAGCCAAAACCGCTCCCCTCCTCTGCTGAACGGATGCAGGAGACCAGAGGCAGCGAATGAAAAAGCAGGGAAAGAGAAACCCTCCAAGTGCCACTGTTTAGAATTAGAGAATGGAGTTATCCAACCCCCGGCCCTCTGAAGGCAATCCTGTATAGGAAAGTTTTTTAATGTTTAATGTTTTATTATGTTTTTTATATATGTTGGAAACTTCCCAGAGTGGCTGGGGCAGCGTAATAAGATGTGCGGTGTATAAATAGTAAAATTATTTTTATGGAATGGGATGTCCCTATTTTCATCAGAGAAATGTTGGAGGGTTTGGAAAGGTCGGTTGCTGGAGCTAAGTGATTGCATGATCCCAACCAGCAGAGCTGGGAACTGGACTGCCTCCTCCAGCTACCCATTCGGGCTGCAGGCATAGCTGTCAACCTTCCCTTTTTTGCGGGAAATTCCCTTATTCCAGTGCCATTTCCCGCTGCTATTCCGGATTGTTAGATATCCTGTAGACTGTCCCCGGGGCAGGTGAGGCTGCTGATCCCTTATTTTCAAATCTGAAAGTTGACAGCTATGGCTGCAGGTAGGCATCGTCCCAGCTTTCTGAAAATATTTACTGATGAGGAACCCAGTGACTGCACATCAGATCACAAGGAGACTTATTTGTGCAACATTCTGGATGGCATATAAGATGCCAGGTAGATTCCAATGATACAATAAATTTTGAGGGACAGCGCAAGGGGGCGCATCCAGCCTCGCAGCCTCCCAGGGCCCAACCCACAGCCAGCGAGCTCCGATGCTCAGAGAGGCAGGAAACGGGGCCAGCCAGGGGGACTCGAGAGCGGCTGCACTTTCCTGTCCCCCGCCGAGGAGAGCGGAGGAGCAGCGGCCCGTGGCCTGGCGAGTTTCCCCGGAGAGGAGCCGGATTCCGCTGCAGGGACGGAGCGAGGAGTCCGAGGTGCAGGAGGGCGGAGCAAGCGGGGGAGGAGGAGGAGGAGAGCACGTACGCCTGGCAGGATGAGGCCCCGAGCCCAGCCAGAGGCTGCAGGGCGCCCCCCAACCGGGCAGGAAGGGGAAGGGGCGCAGCTGAGGGGCAGGGCATCTGCAGGAGGGCGCAGGGGCAAACATCTCTGGCTCAGGCTGGCACGGACCCTGCCGGAGACCCTGGGGAGCTGCTCCCTTCAGTCCTGAGCTCAAGGGGCAGAATGAGGGGTCCAAGGCAGCTGCTGCTCCGCGATGGACGATGCATATAGTCGTCCGATGATCAGCGGCGTACCTGGGGCTTTTGCCTCCCCTTTCCCTGTCCCTCAGCAGGGAGCCCAGCCCATTTCGACGGTCCTCCCCACGGCGGAGAGGGAAGGGGAGGCAGGGGGAATGGAAGAGCACTGCAGCGGGGGTGGGGGCTCTCACTCTACAGCCCCTCCTGATCCCCCTTCCTCTGCCAGTGCCATCGATAAACCTATCGCCCTCCTTCGTGAATTGGTCTGATCGCCTTTTAAAGCTCTCTTTGCCACCACCATCACTGCATCTTCTGGCAATGATGTCCATCAGATTCATTTAGCAAGGAAATGGCATATTTTGCCTGCCTCAGATCAAGGTACACTGTGCCTACACATGGAGGTTCTGTTGTTCTGTCAAGGATCTATTCCCCGGAGAACGCATCTGATCTTTTCCCAAGCTATCAAGGTAGTGACCTCTTGTATCTGCGTGTGAATAAGTGAGACAGGCTTAAGCCTGTTTCATTAATTGTTTTATTTCCACCTTCCTCAGTAAGGTTTTATCTTCCTCCTTCTTCAGTAACACAGCTGAGTTTTCAGATGAAGGCTGAGGGTTGAAGTGGGTGACAGTTTTGAGAGTGCAGAGGAAAGGAGGATTCTAAAGAAGTGTGGCATATGGAAATGAATTAATGATAATAAAAATGTTGAAGACAGTATTGTAAAAGACTGAGGAAGGCGAAATTGAAATTAGCTATTCATGTCCAGATTATTATTCCTTTCATTTCTATACTGCTTCATATTTTAAAGAAAAAATCTCAAAGTAATTAGAGAGAAATCTCAATTCAGTTTGTGTCCATAGGATGTTGAGAACATTAAATCTGTAGATCCAGGAGTTCTCTCCTCCTGATAGTCTCAGATTTGATTGTTCTTTCTGATAGAGCAGGAGGAATGAAACATTTATGGGCTTAAAGCTGCATTGATTCTGGAGGCCACATTCCAGTGAGCTTTGTGGCCAATGTATGCACATGCATGCGCACCCAGAAAAGAGATGCAGACCATAAAGTCACATGCACACACGCCAGAGGTGCTGCACACACTCACCAGACATGCCACCTAGCATACATACAAGTCTTGCAAACACAATCAGCATGTTTAGACCTTCCAACCCCAGTGCTGGGGTGGAGGAGAAATAAGAGCACAAGAAGACCCTGCTGAATTAGCAATGAGATCTGTGGAAAAAAGACCCTTCTGATTGTTCTTTAGAAATCCTCTTTAAAGAGCAGCCAGAGGGATCATTTATTTCCAGAGCAGGGCTTTAACCCCATTTCAGCACTATGCTGCTTTGTGGTGAAATTGGAGTTGAAAAGATCTCTCTAAGGGCCCTTAGGCATATTTCTCTCCAGAACAGACAGAGATCTTCATCAGATGATCAGATCAGGAGATGGAAATGGCAGGGACTAGCAGGACACACCCTGAGGCTTGGCAAACCATATGCAGCCAATGGACTGCAAGTTAGAGTGTCTTCAGTCAAGAGAGTTTCTGACCATCAAATTTAAAATATTTTGGAGTGAGTTCTTTGATTTTGTTGGTCAATATTCCTTTTGCCTGTTTGTTTCTTAGGCTGTGCAGATACCATACATTTAAAGCACGTGGCTTCCCCCAGAGAACCACGGGACCTGTAGTTTATTGCTACAGTTCTCAACACCCCTAACAAACTGCAGCTCACAGGATTTCTTGGGTGAGGTCATGTACTTTCAATGTTAGGTGGGTCTGTCGCAGCCTTAATCATATACAAAGATCTGTTGCTGCCTTTCCAACATGCTAGAAGTTGCAGCCAGGATCAGCATTCCCTGTCCACTGAACATGCTCAGTCCTCTCACTGGGTTGTTTTTGGATTTCCTTCCACTGCCTTGGTTCCCTCCCCCCGCCCCCAAATATTATTTGTACTTCCATAAACCTTGATGTTTCCCCCAGTCTTTGGATAACTTCCCCTCGTCCCTGGGTGGAGTCGTTTGGGTGACATAATGATTGTTATTCACAGCCTGAACATCAGAAATAGAAAGAGTAATAATATATTTCAAAAACTGGCAAATGGTTAAAAAATGTGCTTTTGTTTTTATTCTTGGGTTTTATTTTACTTTGTGTTTATTTCTTTTCCAGCAGGGTGACGTAAAAATGGAAGAGCCGGGACCCAGGAGACCCATTCAAAGGCAGAGACTGGAGTGCAAAGGAAAGAAACCTCCTGCCGGCCAAGTTGGGACCATCAGGGATCTTCTGCCTCGGGCAGATTTATGTCAAATTAAGCAGGAGGCAGAGGAGCGGCAGCCGCAGCAGCACTGGGAGGCCCAGAAGCAGGATTTCCTGAAGACGATGCAGCCCCCTCGTTCAGGGTGGGAAACCCCACAGGCTTCCAGTCCTCCCCACTCCGGGAATGGTGTCCTCCCGGCCTCCTTCAGGGGAGCTGCGGATGCCAGTCAGTGGCCCAGTGGGAGAGCAGGGGGGACAGACCAGACCCTGCTCCCAGACACTGAGGGGCTTCTGGGAAAGGTAAGTGCCCTCCTCTCACCTGGGTTTCCAGCACCTGGAGGTCACAGGTCCACTGCCTCTAGACATGGAGGTTCTGTTTAGCTTTGGTGGTGAATATTCCTCCTCCCTGCACTTTCTCTCTAATCCACTTTAAAAAGGCTTGCTGGACCAAACTTTACATGGGAGGTTTGCGATAATATCTCCTGCTATTCTTACTTTACTTAAACAGCTGCAGGGGACTCTGAATTTTATCAGAGCAGAAGCAGTGTCAGAAGAGGGGTCCTTCCACCAAACCCCGTTTTCCTCCTCTAAATTGCCTCCATTTCCAAAATGCTCTTTTCTCCCCACTGAGGTAAAAATCTTGGCACGTCTTGCAGCCTCAGCAATCCCATGTGTAGTCGCATTAAATAAGACTGGCCTACCTTGCAAGGTTGTTGCAAGATTTATTAAGATAATGGCCAGGTTCAGATGACTGAATCACAGCCTGAAAAGCCGGGTTAAAAATAGGAACAGTCATAGAATAATAGAATCATAGAATCATAGAGTTGAAAGAGACCACAAGGGCCAAGCAGGAAACACCATCAGAGCACTCCTGACATATGGTTGTCAAGCCTCTGCTTAAAGACCTCCAAAGAAGGAGACTCCACCACACTCCTTGGCAGCAAATTCCACTGTCGAACAGCTCTTACTGTCAGGAAGTTCTTCCTAATGTTTAGGTGGAATCTTCTTTCTTGTAGTTTTTTTTTTTTTAAATGATATTTATTAAAGTTTCAACAAAATACAAAAAATACAGAATACAGAAAAAAGAATAAAGTTTTTGAAATATAACAAAAAAGTAAAAAATAAAAAGAAACATATGAAATAAAACAGTTAAAAAAAACACACATTAATTTTCCATAACCTATCTTCCCTACACTTATTTCCCCGGACCTCCTCGTACCTCCTTTTTTTGTATTCCAATTCAGTTAGTTAGTTCAGCAAATTCTTACCATTAAGCTTTTACCCAATTGTAGTCCTTTTTTCATATCTCTTAAAGCATTACAGCTAAAAACCTCTTAGTTTCTATCCAACATCCTTCTAACATTCATTAATTTTACAGTATTTCTGTAAATAGTCTTTACATTTCTTCCAGTCTTCTTTCACAGACTCTTCTCCCTGGTCTCGGATTCTGCCAGTCATTTCCTTCTTTCTTGTAGTTTGGATCCATTGCTCCGTGTCCGCTTCTCAGGAGTAGCAGAAAACAACCTTTCTCCCACCTCTATGTGACATCCTTTTATATATTTGAACATGGCTATCATATCACCCCTTAACCTCCTCTTCTCCAGGCTAAACATGCCCAGCTCCCTTAGCCGTTCCCCATAAGGCATCATTTCCAGGCCTTTGACCATTTGGGTTGCCCTCCTCTGGACACGTTCCAGTTTGTCAGTGTCCTTCTTGAACTGTGGTGCCCAGAACTGGACACAGTACTCCAGGTGAGGTCTGACCAGAGCAGAATACAGTGGCACTATTACTTCCCTTGATCTAGATGCTATACTCCTATTGATGCAGCCCAGAATTGCATTGGCTTTTTTAGCTGCCGCGTCACACTGTTGGCTCATGTCAAGTTTGTGGTCAACCAAGACTCCTAGATCCTTTTCACTTGTACTGCTCTCAAGCCAGGTGTCACCCATCTTGTATTTGTGCCTCTCATTTTTTGCCCAAGTGCAGTACTTTACATTTCTCCCTGTTAAAATTCATCTTGTTTGTTTTGGCCCAGTTCTCTAATCTGTCAAGGTCGTTTTGAAGTGTGATCCTGTCCTCTGGGGTGTTAGCCACCCCTCCCAGTTTGGTGTCATCTGCAAATTTGATCAGGATGCCCTTGAGTCCATCATCCAAGTCGTTGATAAAGATGTTGAATAAGACCGGGCCCAAGACAGAACCCTGTGGCACCCCACTAGTCACTCTTCTCCAGGATGAAGAGGAACCATTGATGAGCACCCTTTGGGTTCGGTCAGTCAGCCAGTTATAAATCCACTGGGTGGTAAGCATAATCAAGACCGCATTTTACCAGCTTCTTTACAAGAATATCATGGGGCACCTTGTCAAATGCCTTGCTGAAATCAAGGTAGGCTACATCCACTGCGTTCCCTTCATCTACCAGGCTTGTAATTCTGTCAAAAAACGAGATCAGGTTAGTCTGACATGACTTATTTTTCAGAAATCCATGCTGACTTTTTAATGCATTGCTGCAGCAAAGTTACAATAAAACCTAAGTTGACCCAAGTTTAAAACCAAAAACTCTAGCCGCCACCGCAGTCTCCTGGCCCCCACAACCAGAATGCATCACTCCAGGAAGGACCCCCACCCAACCTTTAGTGAGAGAGGGCAAAAGAAAAGGACTCTACATTGGTAGTTGCACAAATTTACCAGCTGTGGTCCTGCACTGACAGCAAGGCTAACAAACAGGGGAGCTGGGAATGTGCTAGTCCCGTATCTCCCTGCATCTGCCTCCTGACCTAATTGTCCCAGCTTACCTCATGATTGGGCCGGCCCTGAGGGTGAACTGTGATGAAACCAGGCAGTCTCTTATGAGCCATAACTAGCAAACTTTCCATTTTGCCCAAACCAGGAAACTACAGCTGCCAGCTTTGGAACAAGCCGGGAGATTAATCTAACTTCAAAATGTGCTTGGTCAAAACAGGAAACTCTGGTTGATCAGTGGCTTCGTGGTTTGACTGTTCCCACTGATAGCAGTAAAAATAGGAAGCCCTGTTGCATTTGAAGGGGTTGTTTGGACAGAGTCTCTGATCAGCATGCCTAGCAGGACAGGCTTAAAAAGGTAAAGGGACCCCTGACCATTAGGTCCATGACCGACTCTGGGGTTGCGGTGCTCATCTCACTTTATTGGCCGAGGGAGCCAGCGTACAGCTTCCGGTTCATGTGGCCAGCATGTCTAAGCCGCTTCTTGCGAACCAGAGCAGTGCATGGGAACGCCGTTTACCTTCCTGCCGGAGCTGTACCTATTTATCTACTTGCACTTTGACGTGCTTTCGAACTGCTAGGTTGGCAGGAGCAGGGACCGAGCAACGGGAGCTCACCCCGTCGCGGGGATTCGAACCGCCAACCTTCTGATCGGCAAGTCCTAGGCTCTGTGGTTTAACCCACATCACCACCCGAGTCCCAGGACAGGCTTAGGAAGCAATTATTATTATTATTATTATTATTATTATTATTATTATTATTTGCATCCTGCCTATCTGACTGGGTTGCCTCTGCCCATCTGGGTAGCTTCCAAGAAAATAAAAACCATCAAAAATTTCCTTGTAAAAGGCTGCCTTCGGAAGTCTTCCATTTTGTAGAAATGGCCTTCGGTTTTAAAGAATTGCCCTCTTTAAGGAATCACTTGGTGTAAACATGTATGTTGTCCTCTAGGTCCAAACACACACAGACACACACATAGTAGGAACAAGCAGTGCTTTAAAGTGCTTATCTTGCGAACTTGTCGTCTAAGTTGTTTACTCCTGACCAAAGTTCCTGTTTCCCAAAAGGACAGGAGGGGGAGCAGTGGAGGAAACGGATGGGTTTGAAGGCTCCTTCCACCAGCCGCCTCTCTCCCCTGAGGAACAAGAGCAAAGGGTGTTTGCAGGGCAGAAGGACAGAGGAGGAGGCAGCAAGGGCAGAGGGAGCAGTGGGCGGATCCACCGCCTCTCCTAGGGTGTCCTGATGCAAGCAAGAGGCTTCCTTCTTCTCTATGCAAGGGCCACCCATGTATTCAGAGCAGTCCTTTGCAGATTAACTCTTAAGTTCCAAGGGATCTACTCTCAGGCCACTAATGTGCATACCATGCCAGCCTTAGGAAGGGAGGTGGGACAGGCAGGTGAAAGGAATTGCCAAAGGTTTTTGAAAATGGGTGGAGGCAATTGGGAAGGGGGTGCCCAATTGGGGCTTCTCCAGGGGCAGCAGAATGTCTTGGGCAGGAGAATCCCTGCAGGGGCTCTCAGACTCCCTTGGCTTCTTCTTCTTCCCTCCCTCCCAGGAAGCTGCAACTTGCTCTGGATTCTGCGCTCCTCAGGAAGCTGAACCTGCAAACCTAGCTGAGACTGAACCTGCAACCCTGGCCAGGATGGAAGGAGGAAGATGGACGGTTGACCTGGTCAGGCTGTCTCCCGCATCCCTCCCCACAACCTCTGAGCATTCCCTTCCAGGACCCTTGGAGAAATCTGGTGAGTTCCAGGGGAGAGGAGATGGGGACAGGGATAGATGGATGGTGGAGGGAGAAAGGTGAAAAGATGGAGAGAAGACAAATGGAAGGAGGTTCCTGAATGTAAGAAGGAAGGGGTGAGGCCTTCTCCAAAGCAGCTTTTCTTCCTCCAGGCTTCTAAATCTTAGATGTTATTTCCCCAGCAGTAATAATTGATGATAATGATGTGGCACACCAATCCTTAAAAACGGGTGAAGGGTAATGGAAATGCTTCCCATAATTATTTATAATTAATCTATTACCCTTATTTTTTATAGACAGGGTCAGAGTGATACATTCCACCAGCATCAAAACACAATAAATGCATGCAGCTCCCCAGTTTTGTGGACTTAAGGGACAAAGGACCAGCTATCATGATACACAATTCCTGTGGCTGGAGGCTCTACACTTAGGATTGGACATATAAAGTCCAAGAGCATCTGGTATTAGAAGCAAATTGTGTAAACTTGCCAATCTTACATACCGGGATTGTTTGTGAGAGTGAGTGAGTGGGGTAATAATTTATAGCATCCCTGTGATTTTGTCCGTTCCTAAGCTTCTATGGGTGGGACGCGGGTGGCGGTGGGACGCGGGTGGCGCTGTGGGTAAAACCTCAGCGCCTAGGGCTTGCCGATCGCATGGTCGGTGGTTCGAATCCCTGCGGCGGGGTGAGCTCCCGTCTTTCGGTCCCAGCTCCTGTCCACCTAGCAGTTCGAAAGCACCCCTAAGTGCAAGTAGATAAATAGGTACCGCTTTATAGCGGGAAGGTAGACGGCGTTTCTGTGTGCTGCGCTGGTGCCGGCTCGCTAGAGCAGCTTTGTCACGCTGGCCACGTGACCCGGAAGTGTCTCTGGACAGCGCTGGCGCCCGGCCTCTTAAGTGAGATGGGCGCACAACCCTAGAGTCGGACACGACTGGCCCGTACGGGCAGAGGTACCTTTACCTTTACCTTTAAGCTTCTATGGAGATACTGTGGTACAACCTTGGTACAAATTTCAAAATAAGTACACAAAGCCAACAAAGAGACTCAGAGGTTTATAGTGGCACCAGGTAAAGGTAAAGGGACCCATGGCCATTAGGTCCAGTCGTGACTGACTCTGGGGTTGCGGCGCTCATCTCGCTTTACTGGCTGAGGGGGCCGGCGTACAGCTTCTGGGTCATGTGGCCAGCATGACTAAGCCACTTCTGGTGAACCAGAGCAGCGCACAGAAATGCCATTTACCTTCCCGCCGGAGCGGTACCTATTTATCTACTTGCACTTTGACATGCTTTCGAACTGCTAGGTTGGCAGGAGCAGGGACCGAGCAACGGGAGCTCACCCTGTCACGGGGATTCGAACCGCCGACCTTCTGATCGGCAAGCCGTGGCTCTGTGGTTTAGACCACAGCACCACCCGCGTCCCTTAAAGATCCCTTAGAGAGATCCTTTAACTCCAATCTCAGCAGGAATCAGCACAGTGCTGAGATGGGATAGGAGTCCTTATCTAGAGATAAATGATCCCACTGGCTGCTCTTTAAAGAGGGTTTCTAAAGAACAATCAGAAGGGTCTTTTTTCATGGATCTCATTGCTAATTCAGCAGGGTCTTCTTGTGCTCTTATTTTTCCCCACCCCAGCACTGGGGTTGGAAGGTCTAAACATGCTGGTTCATAGCTGTCAACTTTCAGATTTGAAAATAAGGGATCAGCAGCCTCACCTGTCCCCACGTCCCTGTGGCATCACGTATCCTGCTCAAAATTCCACTTTGTCAGACTGCAGCCCACAAAAGCTTAGGCCATAATACATTTATCAGCCTTTAAGGGCTGCAAAAGATGAATAAAACAACTTCCGGTTAGCGCCAGCAGCAATGGCTGACCTCCTTTGAGTCTCGGAGGGGGTAGCTCAGTGGGAGATCGGGTCCTGTGCGCTCCGGCGAAGCGGGGACCCTTGGAAATCGCAGGCGCGGACGCCTGCGAACGTGGAGGCTCGGCGGGCACCTTGGAGTGCCCCCCAACCCGAAAGGAAGCCTTTTTTTGAGGCTTCAGAAGGGAGCGGGGGAGAAGCGCGGTGCTGCGAGCGGATCACTGCTTTCACTGAGCGAAGCCGTGTTGCCGTTGCTGGAGAGCGCTGACTTATTCCTGGGACATTTGGACTTAAATTTTAACCGTGAGTAGAGGAATTGGATTAAAAAGAGCACTAATTGGATTAATTGGACTATCTGCGTAAAAGCGGAAAAGTTTTAAGCTGTAAAAAACGTCTGAATTGGCTACCGCGGTGGAAGCGCAAACAGGAAGTCCGCTTCCCTGCACTGTATGTGGAATAAAGCATAGAGATTTGGAGCTAAACGTGAGAAAATTGAACTGAAACAAAAGTTTCTTTCTGACCTGAGAACTTTGGTGGGATCTACCCTTTGGAGGGATAAGGGAAAGGCTTTTGATTCTACCGGACTGCTTAAATTTAAGGATTTAAAGAGCGATTTGTCAGTGGACGTCTCAGCTGTCAAAGCTGTCAGAGCTGCTTGCTGGCTGCAAAGAAGATACATTGTGGCCAATTTCTTTGGGGAAAAGATTGGAAAGAACTGGAAAGCTACTTTGTGTTCTTTATTTTTGTCTTTTTACTTAGTTTCTCTCTCTTGCTATTTTAAAAGGACAGTAACTAGCTAGGTGGTAACAGTGTCCACCTAGTGGGACTCCTTGCAACTACAGGAAAGGAATTTTCCACTTGTAAACAGGAACACCAGACGTGGGAAAGGAATTTGACCTTCACTTTGTTATGGCTGATGGTCAAAAAGACCAGTCAGTCTTGAGATCAGGGAAACCCTGGGTACACAGAAGGCAATCATCTGCTGGTTTGCCTGCATCGGCAATACAACCTAAGTCTGGTGGAATGCCTGAGGAAATTTTAGCCAGTGCTCTGGCTAAGATTAATGAATCGATACAACAATTAAGTACAAGGGTGGGGGAGACGAATAGGAAAGTGGAAGAAACGAACCAGAAAGTGGACATTGCAAATAGGAAAATTGACTTAAATACAGAAACATTAGACAATTTGGAGAAAAAAGTAAACAGTAATACGGAATCTATTCAGAGATTACTGCAAGACTCAAAGTCCATACAGGAAAAGACTGCTGCTGTAGAATTTAAATTGGGGCAATTGGAAACTGAAAAGGTACCAGACCTGCAGAAAGAGATTGCAGAACATAAGTTAACGTTGTCTATGATTGACCTTAAAGACAAACAAACAAATCTTAGAATTAGAGCTGTTCCTGAGTTGGAGAAAGGCACCCTGATAGATTTTCTGACACAAGAATTTCTGGATTTTTGGAAATCGGAATTGAAACAAGAGGACTTTAGGATTGTGAGGGCTTTTCGACTGGGGAAAGGAGGAAGAAAGATTAAAATAAGGGATTGTCTGATCACCCTCCGATCCAAAGAAGAAAGGGACAAAATTTTGGGCCTGCACTACGAAAAACCCTTGACAATCATACAATCAAAAGTGGAAATCTTTAAAGATATACCAAAACATCTTCTTGATTTAAGAAAAGATTTTGGAGATTTGGTGGACTTGTTGAGAAAAAATAAAATCCTTTTCAGGTGGGAATTTCCCCAAGGTCTATCCTTTAGTTTTAAAGGAAGAAAGACCAAGATTAGATCAGTGGAGGAAAAGAATAAGTTTTTGAGTGCATACGAAGAAGATCTACAGAAAGGACTGGGAAAAGACACTGCGATACCGGTTAAGAGTCTGCAAAAAAAAGTGAAATCAACGCCACCAACAGATATTGACAGTCTTCTTGGGGCTGTTGGAGGAGAAGGAGAGTGTGATGGGACGATGAGCTGCTTGTGTGTAAAATCCTAGTCCCTCAGAGTTTGGTCAAGTTTGCAAACCTCTGTCTGTAACGGAGCCCCTTAAACATGGCTCCGTCAGTCGCTGGCAGATTCCGACAGTGGTTGCTTTCGGAATCGCTTCCAACATAAAAGCTCCTTAACGGAAACACGTCTTCTGGACTCTCTGCGTGACAGTTTCCGGCGAGGAGTGGGTGTCCCTACAGGAGGTCCTGAAACCTCCCCACTGTTTTCGCTGGAAGTGTCTCTGAGCCATCCCTCCAGCTCCCTTCCCTCAGCCCAGCTCCTCTCCCCCTACTGGTTCCCTCTTCAGCTGCTGAGTCTCTCCCAACCTGTGTGAGCCCTTTCACTTCCCTTCCTTCCGATGGCAGTTCCCTGACATCCACCTCCCCTCCAGGGCCCCCTTCATCCCCTCTCGCCCCTCCTCTACGGGCGGTGAGGAGGCAAAACCCGGAATGAACTTCCTTCATCTTCCGATGTCCCGAACACTTCTCTCCACCTGTTGCGGTTCCTGGTCTCAAGTACTCCTCCTCCTCAGAGTCCATCTCCCCTTCCCCTTCCGATTCCGAGAATCCTTCCAACTCCTCCTCCTCATCGGTGGTCCCAAAGTATTCCCTCCGGAACCTCTCCACAGGCTGAGGTTTCCTTGGGAACCTTTGATGGAACGTTTCTATCAATACCTCGTCATTGATATCTTCTGCCATTACCCAAGTGTTTTCTGACTCCGGTTCTCCTTCCCACGCTACCAAATACTCCACCTGATCCCCCTTCCATCTGGCGTCGAGGATTTCTGCCACATGGCTGCTGCATTCCCTTTCTTCTATGACCGGTCCCCGAGTGGCCATCCCTTCTCGTCCCCCCTCATACGGTGACAGTAACGACCTGTGAAATACTGGGTGCAGTTTCATGTGGTTGGGTAACCGGAGCCTGAAAGCCACTGGGTTGACCTGTTGAATGACCTCAAAGGGACCCAATCTCCTGGGTCTTAATTTCTTACAACCTCCTTTGAACGGCAACCCTTGGGTTGACAGCCACACCCTATCTCCCACCCTTATGGTTTCACCTTCCCTTCGGTTCTTGTCTGCCTGCCTCTTGTATTCTTCCTTCGCCCTTTCTAAGTTGAGTTGGAGCTGACGATGGATTGCTTCCATTTCTTCTACAAAATGCTCGGCTGCCGGGACACCCCATCTCTCCCTTCTCCCCTGGGAAAGCCCTGGGATGACACCCATAATTAGCCAAGAAGGGCTCATCCCTGTGGACACATTCTCGGCATTGTTGTAGGCAAATTCCGCCAGCGCCAACTTTTCTACCCAGTCATTCTCTCTGTCATTGACATAACACCTCAGGTATTGCTGGAGGACCCCGTTTGCTCTTTCCGCCTGCCCGTTGGTTTCAGGGTGCCGGGCAGTCGAAAAGTTGACCTCCACCTGCAGTAAGCTCATGAGCTTCCTCCAGAACCTGGAAGTAAATTGTTTTCCTCGGTCTGAGACCACCCTCAATGGCACCCCGTGCAACCTAAAAATGTGTTCTACAAATAACTTCGCTGTCTCTTCCGCCGTGACTGCATGCGAGCAGGCTACAAAGTGGCACATCTTTGTTAGTAGGTCTACCACCACCATGATGGCTGTTTTCCCCTTGGACTTCGGCAGATCAGTCATAAAATCTATCGACACTGCCTCCCAAGGTCGTTCTGGGGTTGGTAAGGGTTCTAATAGCCCCGCCGGTGCCCGCCTCTCCCCTTTGGCTCGCTGGCATTGCTCACACCCTCTTACATACTCCCGTACATCGTCCCTCACCTTAGGCCACCAAAATTCCCTGGTGACCAACCACATGGTTTTGTGTTGTCCAAAATGCCCCGCCGTGGGGCTGTCGTGCAACTGCTTGAGTACCCTCCCCCTTAAGTCTCCTTCAGGGATATACAGTGCCCCTTTGTAATACAAAGCTCCATTTCTTTCCTCGAACCCCTGGTTCCTCTCCCTCACCCCTAAGACCTCTGAGCTTATTCTGGGCGTATTCATCATTCTCTGTTTCCTCTACCAGTTCTCTTTGTCCCACCAATGCCGCCCCACACACCCAGCGGTCCTCTGGAATGACATGTCTCTCTTCGGGTGCTCCTCCCCTCCAAATATTCAGGTTTGCGTGAGAGAGCGTCCGCCCTAATGTTCTCTGGGCCTGGCACGTAACAAATCTCAAAGTTAAATTTGGAGAACTCCTGGGCCCATCTCACTTGCCGTTGGTTGAGCACTCGTGCCGTCCTCCAATACTCTAGGTTCTTGTGGTCAGTGCACACTTGCACCTTATGTTGTGCGCCAATTAGCAGGTGCCTCCATCTCCGGAACGCCTCATGAATGGCTAGTAGTTCTCGGTCATACACCGTGTAGTTCCTCTCGGATTTGTTCAGCTTTCGCGAAAAAAGGCACACGGTCTCCACTCTGACTCCTCCTTCCCTGGCTGCAGAAGCACCGCCCCAATAGCTCTGTCTGATGCGTCAGTTTCCACTCTCATCGGTTTTTGTAAATCCACATGCAGGAGTTGTTGTTCCGAGGCGAAGGCCCTGTTTAGTTCCTCAAATGCTCGCTCCGCCTCCTCAGTCCAAACGAACTTCTTCTTACTGCTGAGACAGTCCGTAATGGGCGCCGTCAGGTGGGCAAAGTTTCGGATGAACTTACGATAGAAGTTCCCAAATCCTAGGAACCTCTGCACATCCTTCCTTGTTTTGGGTGTTTTCCATTCCAGCACCGCCTGGACCTTGCCGGGATCCATGGCCAATCCCTTGTCTGACAGGCGATACCCCAGGAATTCCACCTCCTTGGTATGAAACTGACACTTCTCCAGTTTCACCCACAGCTGGTTGGCTTGCAGCCTGCTCAACACTTCTCTGACGTCTCTCACATGCTGCTCCTCATTCTCAGAATACACCAACACGTCGTCTAAGAAGGCCACACAATTCTTGTAAAGCAAAGGCCCCAGGACGTGGTTCATAAACGATTGAAAGCACGCGGAGCCTCCTTGTAGGCCGAAGGGCATAACTAAATATTCAAATGCCCCCAAAGGGGTGAACATGGTGGTTTTCCATTCATCCCCCTTCCTTATTCGTATCAGGTTGTACGCCCCCCTTAGGTCCAGTTTAGTAAAAATCTTTCCCTTCCTGACCCTTGTCAAAATGTCGTCAATCCTGGGCATAGGGAAAGCCACTGGTTCTGACACTGCATTTAAGGCCCTGAAGTCACACACAAGCCTCGGCTTGTTCGTGTTTTTATCCACAAAAACACTGGGCTGCCCCCACCGCCCTGGACTCTCTGATGAACCCTCTCTTCAGGTTCTTGTCAATGAACTCTCTTAGCTCCTGCATCTCTCTGTCTGACATGGCGTACAGCTTGCCTACAGGGAGCTGTGCCCCAGGGAGTAAATTGATTTGACAGTCAAAGGGTCTATGCGGGGTAGTTGGTCAGCTTCCCTTTCGCTGAAGACGTCGCGGAGATCTGCGTATTGTCGTGGTACCTTCACGTTCTCCGTTACTTCAGTCCCTGCTAGGGTGGCTTGGGCCCCTGCCAAACCCTTTCCCTCTTTGCAGTGTTCTAAGCAATGTGCTGAACCAAAAGAAACCACTCTCTGATGCCAGCCCACCAGCGGATCATGTAACGCTAGCCAGCTCATCCCCAATATAATGGGAGCTCCTCCCAAGGTGGCCACATTAAACGCTATCAGTTCGGTGTGCCTTGCCACCTTCATTATCATTGGGACGGTCTGCAAGCTGACTTCTCCTCCCAACAGCTCCCTGCCATCGATCGTGGTCACATGCAGGGGGTTGCTTAAAGGATCGTCTGTATCTGGTGTTCAGCTGCAAACTCTTTGCTCATGAAATTGCAGGAGCTGCCTGAGTCCAACAGCGCCTTTATCTTTAGAGGGTGTCCGTTTGGCAGCTCTAGCGCCACTTCTATCACTAGGGCGGGTTTAGGAGGTTCTGGCGTGGGCACTTTCACTGCTCTTTGGCCTGGCTGCTGTGCCCCGACGGTGGCAGCCAGGCGTTGGCTTTTACTTGCTTCGGTATTTCTTCCTCTCTTCCCTCCACAGCTCCTACCATCCCTTGCCATTCCTTCCTCTGGGGGCAGACTCTGGCAAAGTGACCTGGCTGTTGGCAGAGATAGCATTTCCGGGCGCCTTTTCCTCCTTCTTCCCCCCTCACTGGGCTTTGAAACTGCGCGCGCGCGCGCTGTTCCGATTTCCATCGGCTCTGCCGGCGGGAAAGTTGGCTCTGGAATGTCTGGAATGCGGAACTCCTTCCAACGTTCCCCCTTCCCTTCCCGCCTCTCCAATGCTCTCGCCTCCTGGCGCGCTCCTATGGTCAGCGCTGATTTGGTCAGCTGGTCCATAGACTCCGCCCTGGGCGCCCGGGAAAGTTCGTCTTTCACAGCCGAAGAAAGCCCTTCTTCAAAGAGCATTTGAATGGGTTCCGCCGATAGATCCCACCCCAATTTATGGATCAACATGGTGAACTCAGTCCAGTACTCACGGACAGATCGGCTCCCCTGTTTGCAAGCCATTAACTGTCTGCGGACCACTCCCTGTTCAATATCGCTGGAAAACATCAGATCCATGGCGCGAAAGAACTTCATCGTGTCCTTTAGGACGTCACTATTCGCTGCCATCAGGGGTCTAACCCAGTCTCTCGCCCCTTTTCAAGATGCCCAATCACGAAAGCCACTCGTGATTCCTCGTCAGGAATTCATCAAACTGCAGATTGAGGGCATATTGCATCTCTGTCCGAAAGCCATGATAGTCTTTGGGCTCCCCCCCAAACTTCTGCACCAATCCTGGTACCTTTCTGACGAGCTGGGTGTCTTTCCCCTTTTTGTCTGCATCCTGAGCCCTCCTCTCCTCAAGCCTCGCCGTCTGCAGCGCTAGCTGGACCTCCAACACCCGGTACCTTTCTTCCAGGCTTGGACCCGCTCCAGCTCCTGCTTCTCCGGTTCCGGCTGGGTTGCTCATGATGCCTTCTCCTGCACAAGCTGCTCACGAAGACTGTCGGAATGCTGTGATGGGACGATGAGCTGCTTGTGTGTAAAATCCTAGTCCCTCAGAGTTTGGTCAAGTTTGCAAACCTCTGTCTGTAACGGAGCCCCTTAAACATGGCTCCGTCAGTCGCTGGCAGATTCCGACAGTGGTTGCTTTCGGAATCGCTTCCAACATAAAAGCTCCTTAACGGAAACACGTCTTCTGGACTCTCTGCGTGACAGTTTCCGGCGAGGAGTGGGTGTCCCTACAGGAGGTCCTGAAACCTCCCCACTGTTTTCGCTGGAAGTGTCTCTGAGCCATCCCTCCAGCTCCCTTTCCCTCAGCCCAGCTCCTCTCCCCCTACTGGTTCCCTCTTCAGCTGCTGAGTCTCTCCCAACCTGTGTGAGCCCTTTCACTTCCCTTCCTTCCGATGGCAGTTCCCTGACAGAGAGTAACTACAAAATGACACTACAAGTTTTAAGTTGGAATATTAACGGTCTAAATTCGTCGGCAAAAAGGGGGAGAGTATTTCATACATTGAAGAAAGAACATTTGGACTTGATTTGCTTACAAGAAACTCATGTGACAAGGCTACATCGAAAAATTTTGATAAATAAAAGATTGGGACAAGAATTCATTTCATCGGACAATGTTAAAAAAAGAGGGGTAGTACTTTATGCGAAGGAAAGCCTGTCACCAAAATTTATATTTAAAGATGACCAAGGAAGATATATAGCAATTGAAATTCAGTTCCAAGGACAGAAATTTTTGATAATAGGTGTATATGCACCAAATGAGGGAAAATCAGAATTCTTTAAGAAATTGCATGAAACTCTCCTGGATTATCTGGATTATAACATTATTTTGATGGGAGATATGAATGGAGTAGTGTCTATAAATATGGATAAAGCCCAAAGACAAACAGTGACAAAAGATGGAAGATTACCAAAGACATTTTTTGAAATGACTGACAATATGGATCTTGTGGATATTTGGCGAATAAAGAACCCCTTGGAAAGAGAGGGAACCTTCTTCTCTGAAGCAAATATGACATGGACAAGAATAGACCAAATCTGGATAACTAGAGGACTGGCCCCTAAGATTAAAAAAGCGGTGATTTGCCCGAAAATCTGCTCTGATCACAACCCAGTAAAGATTGAAATGATACCAATGCCAATTGGAGCTTTTAGATGGAGGATGAATGACACCTTATTTAGGAATGAGGAAATTATTAAAAAGGCTCAGAAGAACTTGAGAGACTATTTTGAGATAAATTTGAATACCACGACAGAAAAAAGAGTGATTTGGGATGCCAGCAAAGCGGTGATGAGAGGATTTTTGATACAACAAAACGCAATTAGGAAAAGATATCAAAATGAGAAGAGAGAAAAATCTTGGAGAAAATTAAGGATGGAGAAAAAAGACTGAGGGCGAAACCGAACTCACAGGAGATTCTAAAAGAGATAAAGCTATACCAAGTACAATATATGAAACTGATGAACCAGGAGATAGAATGGAAGATTAAACAGATGAAACAAAAGACTTTCGAATCGGCAAATAAATGTGGGAAATTACTGGCCTGGCAAATGAAAAAAAGACAAAAGCTGAATACGATTACGAACTTGGTAGTAGAAGGGAAGAACATACAGAACCCTGGAGAGATTCGGAAGTGCTTTCAGAACTATTTTAAACAGTTATATATGCAGGAGACTCAGAAAGAATTAGACATTGACCGATTTTTGAAAAATAATGGATTACAAAAAGTATCTCAAGAGAGTAAATCAATATTAAACTCTACAATATCTGATCAAGAGGTGGAAGGAGCCATTCAGAATATGAAATTGGGCAAATCTCCAGGGCCGGATGGACTAACTGCAAAGTACTACAAAACTTTGAAAGAATGGTTATTGCAACCGTTGAAAGAACTTTGCAATGAAATACTACGGGGAGGAAAAGCACCCGAGTCGTGGAAAGAAGCATACATTACACTTATACCAAAAACCGAAGTGGAGAAGACACAGTTGAAGAACTACCGTCCCATATCCCTACTAAATGTGGATTACAAAATTTTTGCGGAAATTATGGCTAAAAGATTAAAAAATGTATTGGTAAAAGAGATTCATAAAGACCAGGCGGGCTTTCTCCCTGGGAGACATTTGTCAGATAATACTAGGAATATTATTAATATTTTGGAAAAATTGCAAGTTAATATCAATACTAAAGCTGTTTTAATATTTGTAGATGCAGAGAAAGCGTTTGACAATATTTCTTGGAGTTTTATGAAGAAAAATTTGCAGGGGATGGGGGTAGGCCAAAGTTTTGAAAATGGTATAGGTGCAATTTATTCGGAACAAAAAGCCAAGCTTATTGTGAACAATGTAGTTACAGAAGAATTTAAGATAGAGAAAGGAACAAGACAGGGTTGCCCAATCTCCCCATTGCTTTTTATATCGGTCCTGGAGGTTTTGCTCAATATGATTAGAAAAGACCAATTGGTTAAAGGTATACAACTCGGAGCTAAACAGTACAAATTGAAAGCTTTTGCTGATGATTTAGTTTTGACATTACAGGAGCCAGAAGCTAGCACAACAAGAGTATTACAATTAATCCAAGAATTTGGTCAAGTAGCAGGTTTCAAATTAAACAAGATGAAAACTAAGGTATTAGAGAAAAACCTTACAGAGATTGAGAAGGAGAGGTTTCAGAAAGAGACAGGATTAACAATTGTTAATAAAGTGAAATATCTAGGGGTGAATATGACTGCCAAAAATGTGAATCTGTTTAAAGATAATTATGAAAAATGTTGGTCAGAAGTGAAGAAGGATTTAGAAATATGGTCAAAATTGAAGTTATCATTGTTGGGCCGAATTGCAGCGATAAAGATGAATGTTGATAAATGCCTAGAATGTTGTTTTTGTTTCAAACATTACAAATTGTGGACAAAATGGACTGTTTCAAGAGGTGGCAAAGAGATATTTCCAAATTTATCTGGCAGGGCAAAAAGCCTAGAATAAAATTTAAGATATTAACAGACGCGAAGGAAAGAGGGGATTTGCCCTGCCAGATCTTAAACTTTACTATGAATCAGCCGCTTTTTGTTGGCTGAAAGATTGGCTACTTCTTGAAAATGTGGACATTTTAGATCTAGAAGGTTTTGATAATGTGTTTGGATGGCATGCATATTTATGGTATGACAAAGTTAAAGCGCATAAGGCCTTTAAGAATCATATTGTCAGGAAAGCATTGTTTAATGTTTGGGTGAGATATAAGGATTTGTTGGAAAGTAAAACACCAAGGTGGCTGTCACCAATGGAGGCAAAGGCATTGAAAAAACAAATATGGAGACAAACTGGCCAAAATATTGTGAAATTTTAGAACAAGTTGGAGATAAATTAAAATTGCAGAGCTTTGATAAATTAAAAACTAAAGTTCGAGATTGGCTTCACTACTATCAAATAAGGGAGGTTTTTAACCTAGATAAAAGATTGGTTTCCAGGAGGAAAAATCTAAACTGGAAACGGAATTGTTAGAACCTAAAACTAAAAATCTGTCAAGAATGTATAATCTGCTGTTGAAATGGAATACACAGGATGAAATGGTTAAATCTGCTATGATTAAATGGGCACAAGATGTTGGGCATAATATCATGTTTGCTGACTGGGAACGGTTATGGACCACAGGTATGAAATTTACGGCTTGTAACGCCTTAAGAGAAAATATAATGAAAATGATTTATAGGTGGTACTTAACCCCAGTCAAGCTAGCAAAAATCTATCATTTGCCTGATAATAAATGTTGGAAATGTAAAGAAAATGAAGGTACTTTTTTCACCTTTGGTGGACGTGCCCAAAGATCAAGGCCTTCTGGGAAATGATATATAATGAATTAAAAAAGGTATTGAAATACACTTTCTTGAAGAAACCAGAGGCCTTCCTCTTGGGCATGGTCGGCCAATTGGTGCGAAGGGAAGACAGGAATTTTTTTATGTATGCGACAGCAGCGGCAAGAATACTTATTGGGAAATACTGGAAGACACAAGAATTGCCTACCCGAGAAGAATGGCAGAGGAAAGTGATGGACTATATGGAACTGGCTGAGATGACCGGCAGAATTCAAGATCAGGAAGAAGGGTTGATGGAAGAAGACTGGAAAAAATTTAAATATATCTTCAGAAACACTGTAATATAAAAGAATGTTAGAAAAGGTTGGAGAAGAATATTAGACCGTATTGGCAGACAGGGTATAATGGAATAAGTAAATATGAAGTGTAAAATAAAGATAGAGGAGAATTAAATACTTTCGAATGTTAAAATAAGTAAAAGAAAAGAAGGTTAGAAGGATTTGCTGGAGATACGATTCAAATTAGAATACAAAGCAGGGAGGTGAGAGGAAGTCATGGAAACAAGTAAATGGGAAGACGGTTGTAATGGTTTAATTGATTTTTGTTATTTTCTATTGTGATTTTTTGTCTTTTGTATTTCTCTTTTTACTGTCTGTTTTTTGTAAGATGTATGTGATTTGTTTGTTTTTTCTACTTTTTTCTTTTTTTGTAATTTTAAAATTAGAATAAATATTTTTTTAAAAAAAAAAAAGCAAAAGATGAATAAACAGAAGCATAGTTCATCTATGGAATCCATCCTACAGGAGACAGTGACATCCAGCAACTTGGATAGCTTGAAAAAAAGGATAAGACTGACGTCTCTGCTCTGCCCTCGTGGTTCAGGCAATAATGCTTCTTGATACTAGTTTCTGGAAAGCACAGGAAGGCAGAGAAGACTCTTGTGCTCCAGTCCTGCTTGCCGGTTTCTCACAGGCATCTGGTTGGCCTCTGTGAGAAGAGGATGCTGGACTAGGTGGGCCTTTGCCTGATCCAGCAGGCTCTTCTTAGGTTCCAATATATTGCAATATTTTTACAGTTACATGTAGCACTTAAGTTTTATTTATTTCACAAGGGAAATACTGTTACTCGAGCCTGAGATCATTTCTTCACTTCAGAAAGAAAAATACAGCGATGTGTCTAATAAGCTAATTCCACCACAGATTCGTATTATAAAATGATGGTGCATTATTAAGTGTGAATGGAGTGCTCAGGTGTTGCTGTTGCCATTATCTCATCTGCTTTGCAAAAAATTTGGAACCTAGAGAGGACAGTGGAGATTGGAGACGGTGTTAAAATGAGAGAAGGTGCAGATTGGGATTGACATGTGTTCAGTTCCTTTTTTGTCTTTCTTGAAAGTCTAACAGGATTCTCTTTCCTCCCAGACTCCCAAACAGGTGAGGAAGATGAAGGTCACAATTCTATGGAGCCACCTGTCAATTCATTGGGAAGAACAAAGAAACTGAGGATACAACAACAAACTCACAAAGGAGAGAAACTATTTCAATGTATGAAGTGTGGGACGAGCTTTAGTCATAGTCAAGCACTTAGAATACATCAACGAACTCACACGGGTGAGAAACCATTTAAATGTATGGAGTGCGGTAAGAGCTTCAGTCAAAGTGGACATCTTAGAATACATCAACAAACTCACACAGGGGAGAAACCATTTCAATGTATTGAATGTGGAAAGAGCTACAGTCAAAATGGACACCTTAAAATACACCAACGAACTCACACGGGAGAGAAACCATTTAAATGTTTTGAGTGTGGAAAGAGCTTCAGTGAAAGTGGGAAACTTAAATTACACCTACGAATTCACACGGGTGAGAAACCATTTAAATGTATTGAATGTAGAAGGAGCTTCAGTGAAAGTGGAGCACTTAGAATACACCAACGAATTCACACGGGTGAGAAACCATTTAAATGTATGGAGTGCGGTAAGAGCTTCAGTCGAAGTGGAACACTTAGACGACATCTACGAATACACACGGAGGATAAACCATTGAAATGTATTGAATGTGGAAAGAGCTTCAGTGAAAGTGGAGCACTTAGAATACACCAACGAATTCACACAGGTGAGAAACCATTTAAATGTATGGAGTGCGGTAAGAGCTTCAATGATAGTGGATCACTTAGAATACACCAACGTACTCACACGGGAGAGAAACCATTTAAATGTATTGAATGTGGAAAGAGCTTCAGTGAAAGTGGACATCTTAGAAGACACCAACGAACTCACACAGGGGAGAAACCATATAAATGTATAGAATGTGGAAAGAGCTTCAGTGATAGTGGATCACTTAGAAGACATCAACGAACTCACACAGGGGAGAAACCATTTAAATGTATTGAATGTGGAAAGAGCTTCCATGTAAGTGGAGCGCTTAGAAGACATCAACAAACTCACACAGGGGAGAAACCATTTGAATGTATGGAATGTGGAAAGAGCTACAGTCGAAATGGAGAACTTAGAATGCACCAACAAACTCACACAGGGGAGAAACCATTTAAATGTATGGAATGTGGAAAGAGCTACAGTCGAAGTGGAGAACTTAGAATACACCAACGAACTCACACAGGGGAGAAACCATTTAAATGTATGCAGTGTGGAAAGAGCTTCCATGAAAGTGGAGCACTTAGAAGGCATCAACAAACTCACACAGGGGAGAAACCATTTGAATGTGTGGATTGTGGAAAGAGCTTCAGTCAAAGTGGGACACTTAGAATACACCAACGAACTCACACAGGGGAGAAACCATATAATTGTATGGAGTGCGGTAAGAGCTTCAGTACGAATGGAGAACTTACAATACACCAACGAACTCACACAGGGGAGAAACCATTTAAATGTATGGAATGTGGAAAGAGCTACAGTCGAAGTGGAGAACTTAGAATACACCAACGAACTCACACAGGGGAAAAACCATTTAAATGTATGGAATGTGGAAAGAGTTTCCATGAAAGTGGAGCACTTAGAATACATCAACGAACTCACACGGGGGAGAAACCATTTGAATGTGTGGATTGTAGAAAGAGCTTCAGTGATAGTGGATCATTTAGAAGACATCAACGAACTCACACGGGGGAGAAACCAATTAAATGTATTGAATGTGGAAAGAGCTACAGCCAATATGGAGCACTTAGAAGACATCAACGAACTCATACAGGGCAAAAACCACAGATACTTTAATAAACTGCATAGGTGTTTTTTACCTTTCCTTCTATGCTTCCTTGCAATACTGACAAAATCAAACCATGCCAATGCTTTCAGCCCCAGAAGAGGAGCTCCCCTTGGTGTCAAAAGAAAGCATTCCTGTGCCACATTTCGTAGCAGTTACTTTAACACACTCTACCTGGGGCTGCCTTTGAAAAGAGCTCAGAAGCTTCAATGGCTCAAAGAGCAGCATAGGACTCCCATATTCGAACAGCTTCGTCTGCCTAATTGTCTGTTTCTGAACACAATCAATGTTTCCACAAGAAGAGGAAGATAGATTTGGAGTGCAGCGTTTTCAATAAGAAATGGACCCACGACTATTTCTTTGTGGAGCTGACCCTCATTTGTGGTGAGGCCCTCTCCGTCCTGAAGAAGGCCCACCTGCAGACACACTGCAGGACGAAGCACATTCAGTACGAGGAGTTCCAAGGGCAGCTGCGCCAGGAGAAGGTCAAGGTGCTGAAAACGGACCTGTTGGGTAACCTGTGGCCCCTCCAGATGATGTCAAATTGCAACTCACGTCTTCTTTCGCCGCTGGCCATGCTGGCTGGGGCTCATGGGAGCTGGAGTCCAAGGATCTAGGTCCACAAATGCCGGGGACAATTCAAATCCCTCCTCAGTCGTGAAGCTGATTGGGCGACTTAAAGCTGGTCACCATCTTTATGCGAAACCTCCCTCGCAGGGTTGCTGTGTGCGTGAAAGCACTATATCTTGTGGTGGGCTTGATGAGGGAAGTGTGGAACATAAATGTAATTCATAGGTAAGAAGACAGGAAATAGTTCTGAATCTGACTGAAAATTAAGGATTCTTTGTCTCCAAGTTGCATATAGCAAGCACCTGTGTTGTTGAACTCTAGCTGAAGTCTCAGCATCTGGTTCCTCAGCACTCTGCACTCTCTCTCTGGAAACCTCCAGCTGTCAGGTGACAGGAACCAGCCAATGCCTCCCAGTTCAGAAACAGTCTGCCAAGAGCTGAGATTGGAAGTGGACAACCAGGGAAAATTAGGGGAGCAACAACATTTTTGAATCCATGCTCATGAATGTTGATTTGAATCAATTTGCCAGATGTGTTCAAAATAGTAGGGAAAATTTATGGTTGACACCACCTTGGGACAGTTTTGACAGGAATTTGGGGAACTGGGAATATTTTTAGCTCCATCAAAGTTGATGGATCAGCAAATAGCTGGAGAGGATTAAGGGGCGGGGGCGGGAATCAGGCCTTGTTTCTCATGTGACAGATAACCGATTCCACAGTTCTTAAAGCTGACTGTTTGCTGCCTCCTAAAATGATGCTTAAGCCTCCCCCCCCAAAAAAAAACACAACTCAAACATGGCAGCTGGTCTTGTCAAACGGGCCAATATAAGGTTCACATTTGGCAAGATTGTTGTTGTTTAGTTATTTAGTCGTGTCCGACTCTTCGTGACCCTATGGACCAGAGCATGCCAGGCACTCCTCTCTTCCACTGCCACCCACAGCTTGGTCAAACTCATGCTGGTAGCTTCGAGAACACTGTCCAACCATCTTGTCCTCTGTCGTCCCCTTCTCCTTGTTCCCTCCATCTTTCCCAACATCAGGGTCTTTTCCAGGGCGTCTTCTCTTCTCATGAGGTGGCCAAAGTATTGGAGCCTCAGCTTCACGATCTGTCCTTTCAGTGAGCACTCAGGGCTGATTTCCTTCAAAATGGTTAGGTTTGATCTTCTTGCAGTCCATGGGACTCTTTAGAGTCTCCTCCAGCACCATAATTCAAAAGTATCAATTCTTCGGCGATCAGCCTTCTTTATGGTCCAGCTCTCACTTACAGACATCACTACTGGGAAAACCATAGCTTTAACTATACGGACCTTTGTTGGCAAGGTGATGTCTCTGCTTTTTAGGATGCTGTCTAGGTTTGTCCTTGCTTTTCTCCCAAGAAACAGGAGTCTTTTAATTTTGTGACTGCTGTCACCATCTGCAGTGATCATGGAGCCCCAGAAAGTAAAATCTCTCACTGCCTCCATTTCTTCCCCTTCTATTTGCCAGGAGGTGATGGGACCAGTGGCCACGTTCTTCGTTTTTTTGATGTTGAGCTTTAGACCATATTTTGCGCTCTCCTCTTTCACCCTCATTAAAAGGTTCTTTGATTCCTCCTCACTTTCTGCCATCAAGGTTGTGTCATCCTCATATCTGAGGTTGTTGATATTTCTTCCGGCAATCTTAATTCCAGTTTGGGATTCATCCACTCCAGCCTTTCTCATGTTGAATTCCGCATATAAGTTAAATAAGCGGGGAGACAGTATACAGCCTTGTCATACTCTTTCCCAATTTTGAACCAATCAGTTGTTCCATATCCAGTTCTAACTGTAGCTTCTTGTCCCACATAGAGATTTCTTATGTTATGGAAATTATGGGAGATTTCTCATGTTACAGAGATTTCTCATGTTACGGAAACTACATATTGCTAGACTGTTAAATGTTACAAAAATTATGCCTGAATGTATCCTTTCACCGTGACAGCTCAGGGAAGTTACCTAGCTTTAAAAATAATATAAAATCAACTCCTTTGCCAGTTTCCTCCATTCCAAAGATATTTTCCCCTTGAAAAAGGACTCCAGGAAGTGTCCAGGGGTGAGAATTGCTGAGCTGGGCCAAGGAAAGCCTAATCCCATCACCAAACTTGCCAAGGGGCCAGACATGCAAAGGAAGTTCTATTGTACTTTGGGTGATGGGACTTCAGAGGTGTTTGCCTATGCTAATCTTATACCTGAGTCTTGCCCTGACATGTCTACTTATGCTAATCTTGTACCAAGGGCTTGTCTGGACATGTTGGCCAAGGTTAAACTAGTGTAACCCCTGTCTACCCCATCCCTTTTGTGACATGTCAGTGATGTAACAATCATATAACAGTGATGCTCTACAAACTGTATTCTGGGATATGGTGGGGAAGTTTTAAAAGTCTTTGTCACCCCATGCTCGGGGTTCAAAATTCCTCTTTCAACCTGTTGCGAAATAAACTTTGGTCTACAGCTATTTGCTCCAGTTGATGGCTGGACTCCTTCCTTTATTCCACAAGGGACCCACGGGCTCTGCCCGACGGGCTGGGTGACTGAGCAGCCTCACACCTAGATTTTTCCGTAACACACAGAAGACAGATGAGGTGATCTGCTGAGATATGATGGCGCCCGGCACACTTCCCCTGGGCCGATGGATGCCTGTGCTGATAGAAAAAGCTTGAGCTCTCTTCACAGCTCTTAGCAGAGATCCGCAGCGGCAGAAAGTGTTGCCTTGTGTGTGAATAATAAATCAGGCTGTGCGCAGGCTTCTTGCTAATCTCTAACAGTCTTTAATGAGTAGAAAAACATCATAAATCAGTCCCGGCGAGAGAGCAGGCATCCTTCTCACCTCTCAGCCAAAAACGAAAGTAAATCACACACAAAGAAAGATTCCCGTATGTGAACATAACCACGCCTCAGAATGTGAGACGTCACACAGAACTGTTTAACCCTGTAAGTTCTGATTCTCCTCACATGATCAGGCACTCCCATTTCTTTAAAAACTTGCCATAGTTTGCTGTGGTTGACACAGTCAAAGGCTTTTGCATAGTCAATGAAGCAGAAGTAGATGTTTTTCATGAACACTCTAGCTTTCTCCATAATGCAGCGCATGTTTGCAATTTGGTCTCTGGTTCCTCTGCCCCTTCGAAATCCAGCTTGCACTTCTGGGAGTTCTCAGTCCACATACTGCTTAAGCCTGCCTTGTAGAATTTTAAGCATAACCTTGCTAGCGTGTGAAATGAGCGCAATTGTGCGGTAGTTGGAACATTCTTTGGCACTGCCCTTCTTTGGGATTGGGATGTAGACTGACCTTCTCCAATCCTCTGGCCACTGCTGAGTTTTCCAAAGTTGCTGGCATATTGAGTGTAGCACCTTACAGCATCATCTTTTAAAATTTTGGTTTTCAGGGAAGAAGCAGCCCTGGAAAATAAGGCAGGAATTCACCTTGAATCTTGCTAACAAAATCCTTTCATAGCTTTTTGTGAGGGTTTTGTGGCTGCTAATCTTAAAGCCAGGATGAGCACTAAGAACTGGGCATCATTTCCTCTGTTATAAAAAATAAAATACTTGTTCTGCTTCTAAAGAAACCCTTTAGAATGCATTCTTATTCTTTTTTCATAAAAAAAAATTCAAACAGCTGTGCAAAGGTGCTCCTGTGCAATGCAATGTCAGAATAACAAAATAATGAAACATCTCACAAGAGCCTTGTTTTTTAAATATACAGCTAAAAAACCTTAAAGCTCCTACAACACTTACCAAATAGAACTCTAATAGCAGGGACTAGGAGGCAACCTGATATTCAAGGCTTCACCCCCCCCAAACTCTGAGCTTTTGGTTTCTCTTTAGACACTCATCTGTGGTCGCCTGGAGCATTTGAGGGGAAAGAGAGATAACATTCTGGCATACGAAGCAAACATAGAAAAAGAAAGTGATAACCTGTTTGTAAGTGTCATTGTTACTTGGAAGGGAACAAGTGTTATAAGTTTAATGTACATATAATGCTGTGCTTGAATGCATTGTAATAAAAATACTATAAAGGGAAGTTTCTCTTAGACTTAGGCAAGAGGTTCCACTCTGACAGAAGCCTCAGAGGAGGCTGGATCTTTCCTCATAACTAGTCACTGGAGGCATAAGCTGCAGAGCTCTCACGGAAGGAAGCTTAAACTTGAGAAGTCAGTGGGTGCTTGTTGGAGATGGCTAGGAGAAGCAGCAGCAGTTGCAAATAAGTCATGCAATGTTGAAGAAGCTTAGGATCTCCCTCTGGGACCAGAGAGAGGAAAGCTGACTAAATTACATAAAGGACTGAACATTGTTTGCAACGTGCTACTTTATCATGCTTATCTTATTGTTAGACTGTTTAAGACTGTTCTGCAGTAAGGCTTCAAAACTTATTTTTGTGATGGAGAGAATTCATTTCCACACAAGGTCCAGATCAGGAATTCCATGGAACAACTTTAACAGCAAGTACTTGAAGGGTACTTCAACAAGTACTTGAAGGGACGTGGGTGGTGCTGTGGGTTAAACCACAGAGCCTAGGGCTTGCCGATCAGAAGGTCAGCGGTTCGAATCCCCACAACGGGGTGAGCTCCCGTTGCTTGGCCCCTGCTCCTGCCAACCTAGCAGTTCAAAAGCACATCAGAGTGCAAGTAGATAAATAGGTACCGCTCCGGCGGGAAGGTAAACGGCGTTTCCGTGCGCTGCTCTGGTTCACCAGAAGTAGCTTAGTCATGCTGGCCACATGACCCGGAAGCTGTACGCCGGCTCCCTCAGCCAGTAAAGCGAGATGAGCGCCACAACCCCAGAGTTGTCTACAACTGGGTCTAATGGTCAGGGGTCCCTTTACCATTACCTTTACTTGAAGGACCAAACCAAGAATTACAACAATCTCTTCCTCAAAATGGTTCAGCCTCCACCACCTTTACTGCAGTCAACTGAAGGCAACCAACTATGCCCTGGGCCCCTCGATCTTTCTCACTGCCAATGAAAACTAATAAATGAAAAGGAAGAGAACCTACCCATGTCACACTGACACAAACACCTTGCATATGAACTTTGAAAATAATGAAAGTGTACTACCTCCCCCCCCCCCGCTTGCTCTCCCCACCTCTCAATTCCCCAACCTTACACTGTATACAACATTAAAGTCTGTCTGTCTGTGAATTTTTATGATATCCAAACAGAGTAGCTTATAGTTAGGAAGCCAACACCCTCCCTTCAGATGTGAAGGAAATAAGCAGCTATCCTATCCTAAAAGACATCTGAAGGCAGCCCTGTTATGGGAAGTTTTTAATATTTAATGCTGTACTGTTTTTAACACTTGATTGGAAGCCACCCAGAGTGGCTGGGGAAACTCAGCCAGATGGGCGGGGTATAAATAATAAATTATTATTATTATTATTATTATTATTATTATTATTATTATATAATGATCTTCCTCTGTTTCACTTCAGATAATTCAGTGGGGCCTCTTCTCAGTTCATTCTCTTCTGGATCAGCGCCTTAATCCTTTGAAGATTTTGTATATCACAGAATAGTCATTGAGGTGTCCCCAGATGTTGTTGTCCAGTTCCCATCCGCTTCAGCTAGCAGGGCAGACAGTCAAGGATGATAGAAACTCTAATCTGGACCTCACCACTTGGACTCTGCTGCCCTATATCCTTCCCATTGAAACAAATGTGAAAATAAATTTTGGACGCTATAGATTTATCCTGGTCTGGTGCATGCAATGTCTTTTGTTTTGCAGCTGTGTGATTTGTGCTCGTATTGTGGTGGCCATTGGCTATAAACAATAAAATTTATATATATATATATTTAATGATATTTATTGAGAGTTTTAAAGTTACAAAGAAAAAAGAAAGAAAAGACAAGACAAGGAACAAAAAGAGAGAAAGAAGTAGATAAACATAACAATTAAACAATACAGTTCAAGAAAAACCAAAGTCGAAAAAAAAATAACAAAACACACAATACATCTAGATCAAAGGACAAAAATACAAAAAACTAAAATAAACAAAAAATTAAAAAACAAGTCTAATATTTCCAAATCCTTAACTTTCATTAACTTATTTCAACGACCTCCTCGCACCTCCCTTTTTTGTATTCTAGTTGTTAACTTCCCAGAGTGGCTGGGGCAACGTAATAAGATGTGCGGTGTATAAATAGGAAAATTATATTTATGGAATGGGATGTCCCTATTTTCATCAGAGAAATGTTGGAGGGTTTGGAAAGGTCGGTTGCTGGAGCTGAGTGATTCCATGATCCCAACCAGCAGAGCTGGGAACTGGACTGCCTCCTCCAGCTACCCATTCGGGCTGCAGGCATAGCTGTCAACCTTCCCTTTTTTTGCGGGAAATTCCCTTATTCCAGTGCCATTTCCCACTGCTATCCCGGAATGTTAGATATCCTGTAGACTGTCCCCGGGGCAGGTGAGGCTGCTGATCCCTTATTTTCATATCTGAAAATTGACAGCTAGTTTCCCCGGAGAGGAGCTGGATTCCGCTGCAGGGACGGAGCGAGGAGTCCGAGGTGCAAGAGGTAGGAGCAAGCGGGGGAGGAGGAGGAGGAGAGCACGTGCGCCTGGCAGGATCAGGCCCGGAGTCCAGCCAGAGGCTGCAGGGCGCCCCCCAACCGGGCAGGAAGGGGAAGGGGCGCAGCTGAGGGGCAGGGCATCTGCAGGAGGGCGCAGGGGCAAACATCTCTGGCTCAGGCTGGCACGGACCCTGCCGGAGACCCTGGGGAGCTGCTCCCTTCAGTCCTGAGCTCAAGGGGCAGAATGAGGGGTCCAAGGCAGCTGCTGCTCCGCGATGGACGATGCATATAGTCGTCCGATGATCAGCGGCGTACCTGGGGCTTTTGCCGCCCCTCTCCCTGACCCTCAGCAGGGAGCCCAGCCCATTTCGACGGTCCTCCCCACGGCGGAGAGGGAAGGGGAGGCGGGGGGGGAGGAAGAGCAGTGCAGTTTGCCTGCCCCAAATCAAGGTACACTGTGCCTACACATGGAGGCTCTGTTGTTCTGTCACAGCTAAAAAAACAGCTAATAAATCTATTCCCCAGAGAACGCATCTGATCTTTCCCCAAACTATCAAAGCTAGTGACCTCTTGTGTCTGCGTGTGAATAAGTGAGACAGGCTTAACCCTGTTTCATTAATTGTTTTATTTCCACCTTCCTCAGTAATACAGCTGAGTTTTCAGATGAAGGCTGAGGGTTGAAGTGGGTGCCAATTTTGAGAATGCAGAGGAAAGGAGGATTCTTAAGAAGTGTGGCATATGGAAATGAATTAATGATAATAAAAACATTGAAGACAGTATTGTTAAAGACTGAGGAAGGCGAAATTGAAATTAGCTATCCATGTTCAGATTATTACTCCTTTCATTTCAATACTGCTTCATATTTTTAAGAAAAAAATCTAATTAGTAATTAGAGAGAGATCTCATTGCAATTTGTGTTCATAGGATGTTGAGAATATTAACTCTGTAGATCCAGTTCTCTCCTCCTGATAGTCTCAGATTTGATTGTTCTTTCTGATAGAGCAGGGGGAACGAAACATTTATGGGCTTAAAGCTGCATTGATTCTGGAGGCCACATTCCAGTGAGCTTTGTGGCCAATGTATGCACATGCATGCGCACACAGAAAAGAGATGCAGACCATAAAGTCACATGCACACACGCCAGAGGTGCTGCACACACTCACCAGACATGCCATCTAGCATACATACAAGTCTTGCAAACACAATCAGCATGTTTAGACCTTCCAACCCCAGTTCTGGGGGGAGGAAAAATAAGAGCACAAGAAGACCCTTCTGAATTAGCAATGAGATCTGTGGAAAAAAGACCCTTCTGATTGTTCTTTAGAAATCCTCTTTAAAGAGCAGCCAGAGGGATCATTTATTTCCAGAGCAGGGCTTTAACCCCATTTCAGCACTGTGCTGCTTTGTGGTGAAATTGGAGTTTAAAAGATCTCTCTAAGGGCCCTTTAGGGATCTTTCTCTCCAGAACAGAGAGAGATCTTCATCCTATGATCAGATCAGGAGATGGAAACGGCAGGGACTAGCAGGACACACCCTGAGGCTTGGCAAACCATATGCAGCCAGTGGAATGCCAGTTAGAATGTCTTCAGTCAAGAGAGTTTGTGACCATCAAATTTAAAATATTTTGGAGTGAGTTCTTTGATTTTGTTGGTCAATATGCCTTTTGTCAGTTTCTTAGGCTGTGCAGATACCATACATTTAAAGCATGTGGTTTCCCCCAGAGAACCACCGGACCTGTAGTTTATTGCTACAGTTCTCAACACCCCTAACAAACTGCAGCTCGCAGGATTTCTTGGGTGAAGCCATGTACTTTAAATGTTAGGTGGGTCTGTCGCAACCTTAATCATATACAAAGATCTGTTGCTGCCTTTCCAACATGCTAGAAGTTGCAGCCAGGATCAGCATTCCCTGTCCACTGAACATGCTCAGTCCTCTCACTGGGTTATAGAATCATAGAATCATAGAGTTGGAAGAGACCAGAAGGGCCATTGAGTCCAACCCCCTGCCAAGCAGGAAACACCATCAGAGCACTCCTGACATATGGTTGTCAAGCCTCTGCTTAAAGACCTCCAAAGAAGGAGACTCCACCACACTCCTTGGCAGCAAATTCCACTGTCAAACAGCTCTTACTGTCAGGAAGTTCTTCCTAATGTTTAGGTGGACTCTTCTTTCTTGTAGTTTGCATCCATTGCTCCGTGTCCGCTTCTCTGGAGCAGCAGAAAACAACCTTTCTCCCTCCTCCATGTGACATCCTGTTATATATTTGAACATGGCTATCATATCACCCCTTAACCTCCTCTTCTCCAGGCTAAACATGCCCAGCTCCCTTAGCCGTTCCTCATAAGGCATCATTTCCAGGCCTCTGACCATTTTGGTTGTCCTCCTCTGGACACGTTCCAGTTTGTCAGTGTCCTTCTTGAACTGTGGTGCCCAGAACTGGACACAGTACTCCAGGTGAGGTCTGACCAGAGCAGAATACAGTGGCACTATTACTTCCCTTGATCTAGATGCTATACTCCTATTGATGCAGCCCAGAATTGCATTGGCTTTTTAGCTGCCGCGTCACACTGTTGGCTCATGTCAAGTTTGTGGTCAACCAAGACTCCTAGATCCTTTTCACATGTACTGCTCTCAAGCCAGGTGTCACCCATCTTGTATTTGTGCCTCTCATTTTTTTGCCCAAGTGCAATACTTTACATTTCTCCCTGTTAAAATTCATCTTGTTTGTTTTGGCCCAGTTCTCTAATCTGTCAAGGTCGTTTTGAAGTGTGATCCTGTCCTCTGGGGTGTTAGCCACCCCTCCCAGTTTGGTGTCATCTGCAAATTTGATCAGGATGCCCTTGAGTCCATCATCCAAGTCGTTGATAAAGATGTTGAATAAGCCCGGGCCCAAGACAGAACCCTGTGGCACCCCACTAGTCACTCTTCTCCAGGATGAAGAGGAACCATTGATGAGCACCCTTTGGGTTCGGTCAGTCAGCCAGTTACAAATCCACTGAGTGGTAGCATAGTCAAGACCGCATTTTACCAGCTTCTTTACAATAATATCATGGGGCACCTTGTCAAATGCCTTGCTGAAATCAAGGTAGGCTACATCCACTGCGTTCCCTTCATCTACCAGGCTTGTAATTCTGTCAAAAAACGAGATCAGGTTTGTCTGACATGATTTATTTTTCAGAAATCCATGCTGACTATTGGTGATCACAGCATTCCTTTCTAGGTGCTCACAGACTGTTTGCTTAATGATCTGCTCCAGAATCTTCCCTGGTATTGATGTCAGACTGACTGGGCGGTAATTATTTGGGTCCTCTCTTTTCCCCTTTTTGAAAATAGGGACAACATTTGCCCTCCTCCAGTCTGCCGGGACTTCACCTGTTCTCCAGGAATTCTCAAAGATGACTGCCAGTGGTTCTGAGATCACATCTGCCAGTTCTTTTAATACTCTTGGATGCAGTTCATCTGGCCCTGGAGACTTGAATACATCTAAACTAGCCAAGTATTCTTGTACTATCTCCTTGGTTATTCTGGGCTGTGTTTCCTCTGCTGAATCATTTGCTCCAAATTCTTCAGGTCGGGCATTGTTTTCTTTATCGGAGAAGACTGAGGCAAAGAAGGCATTGAGGAGTTCAGCCCTTTCTGTGTCCCCTGTTTGCATTTCACCATCTTCTCCTCTGAGTGACCCCACTGTTTCTTTGTTCTTCCTTTTGTTACGAACATACCCATAAAAGCCTTTTTGTTGCTTTTAACCTCTCTAGCAAGCCTGAGTTCATTCTGTGCTCTAGCTTTTCTGACTTTGTGTCTACACGTGCTGGCTATTTGTTTGAATTCCTCTTTGGTGGTTTCCGCCCGTTTCATAGTTTAGTACACATCCTTTTTTAATCTTAACTCAGTTAAAAGTTCTTTAGATAGCCACCCTGGCTTCTTTAGGCACCTTCCATGTTTCCGTCTCATTGGTATTGCCTGAAGTTGTGCTTT